TTTATTCAAATTAAACCAAGAATTTGTTAAATAATGAACTTCCAACTTTTTATTGTTCTACAACTGGGATTCATTACATGGATACTAAATGCTTTTTACTGGGTCACAACTAAAGTTTAAAGTTTCTATCAATCATTTACTTAAAAATAAACTAAGATATTAAATACACATTATTATTATTATTATTATTGTTATTCTGTATTATTTACTGGCATTTAAATAGTTTTATTTATTAAGTATTTATGAACAAAACCTTTTCATGAAAAATATTAGGTAACAAATTTAAATTCAAAGTTCAAATTTATTTGTTGTAAGTATGATTAATAAAAAGAATCTCTTTCAATTAATACAAAACAACTCAACTAATAATTAAAAAGATATAAATGAGCTGACCTCCTCTTCTATAAAACATATTTTCAATCTAAGCACAGAAATAAAGAGTTGTTAGGATATATAATAATATTGCATTTGGTCAAGTGAAAAATGATGGAAGAACACAAACATTAAAACACTGAAGACAAAAACAAAAAGTGAAAAACACAGATGCCAATCTAGAGAGATTTTCTGGTCAGTTTAATGTATTTACAATGTACAGTTTTATAGATTCACTAACCCCCACTGGCACAAAAAAAAAAAAGAAAACAGAAGAACCTGAGAGTTACTGTTTCCATTTTTACTTCCTTTTTTATTTTAGTTTTTTGATTTTGTTCTATTTTCTTTTCCTTTTTTTCTGACATGAAAATCTAAATAGAGAAAAAGCTTCACTGCTATACAATTACATGTGTACAACATAAATTATGGGCAAACTCAGGTTGTGCTGAGACGGGGAACTTTGATTGACAGCATTGGAGAATTGCTGTTTGTCTCATGATTGTGTGTGCATGCATGTATGTTTGTAACCATTTTATACAACTTCAGTAACTGAAGGAGTAATAATTGATGGCACACAGTGAGTTGTATGTGTATGCGGTCATGTGTTCTCTTCTACTAAATCCATAATAGAAGTAAATGAAATATTTTTTTGTTGTGGCTGAGTGAATTACATTCAACACAAGTTATTCAATAACATCACTGAATAAGATATTTTTTTTTCCTTGATCCAAGTCTCTGAAAAGAACTTTTGTTCTTTTATTCATCCATTTCATTTAAAAATGTAAGAGAAGTGTTGATTCTTTACCATTTTAATCTGCAACTAGACCTGACTCCTGCTTAGTGGCAGCCAGTATTAGAACACCAAGTCACGAGGGATGCATTTATGTATGTATGAAAGTGACAGTGTACATGTGCATGTAAAGAAGGGGTAAGTTTACAAGCAATCACAGAAAGAATCCACAAGAGCCAATCAACATTCAGCAATAACATGTGATAAAAAAATAAAGTATTTCAATAAAGAAGAAAGAGGAAAAGGGGAGGGGTCTAATATGTAAATAAGCAAATAAATCAAATGAAAAATGAGAACAAAAACATTATTGGGAGTAGGGGGTGGGGAGAAAGAAAGAAACAAAAAAAGGGGAAAAAAAAACAAAAAAAAAACACCATGATTTGATTCATGTTCATTGGTGCGTGTGCGTGTTGCAAACAAATTTTATATCTTTTTTTTTTTTTAATTTTTTTTTCTACTCCAATTTTTACGTCTTTGAGTTTTATGTACTCTGGCAGTGTATATTTATGATGACAAGTGTCAGATCTACTCTCCAAGTTGGTCAGTTTCTGTCAATCAGTTTTTTCAGTCTGTCCTTTGATGACAAATCCAATCTCCTACTGCTTTTTAAATGTCCACAGTGCATAATAAATCTACTTTCTGATTCTGCTTTCAATGATTCCAGGAGACACACAATAGTTTTTTTTTTTTATCTGGAGTAACACAGAGAGAGAAAGAAAGAGAAAGAGTAAGTATTGTTTGGCTAAGTTTTTTTTTTTTTCCAGTTTCATCGTTAGAAATCATAAAAATAATGGACACTATACACAAGGATATTAGGAGGATAGAGGGAGAGGGATAATTGCTGATTAAAACTCAAAATACTGCTTTCTTTTTTCCCCCTCTCCAACAAAATTAATCCTCACCCAGATAGATATTAGTTACACACATGCAAATAAATATTACTCTTTCTTTTTTTCTTCTTCACACAACTTCTTTTTCTCCAAACACAAAAAAAAGATCAAAACAACTGTTCCATTTCTTTTTACAAATTTACAAATAAAGCAGCACCATGATTTTATATAATTTATTTATATACACACAGTACATAGAACAAAAACATGCACATATATATATCTTCACACATGCATGCACACACACTTGCAGATAAATATATGTATGTACATATAAAAACATATATATATATATATATATATATATATATATACACACACACACGAACACATACATAAAATACAAATTCATGTGTAATATATATATATATATATATATATATATATATTGATGAATTATGGGTGTTGAGTGTTATTTAGTCTGCCTACGCACTCTTGCATAATGGATCACAAACAATTTTCATTTTAATTAAAAAGATGATGAATTGATATGAATTCAGAATTATCTTATACCGAAATAAACCTTTCTATAACAACTATTCAAAGGAGGGTGAAAAATGGCCACTAATTCAAAAATATACAGCCATAAAAATGTATATATATTATCCACCTTTGTTATTTCTTGTAAAGAAAATGGAACAGTCTTTCTTTGTCTTTTGGGGCCCAGGTAGAAGTAAATGCTGATTATCTAGAATGAAGAGGAGAAAAAGAAAACTGAAGAACTTTCTCTCTACTTGTAGACAAGGATAAAGTGATAACAAAGTCATTCATAACTTATTTCTACAGGAAGGAAACTAGTTCCTTATTAAATTATACTCCAGGCTTGAGATTAGATGTTAGAAAGTTGGTAAAAGACAGATAGGATTTTTGTTTATAATACTTATATTCTCAAAGATTATTCAGCCATGATGACTGGGATCAATGTTGCTTAATTTGAGTAGATACAAAAGAAAAAGTATTTGCTAATGGCAAAAATAGCTTGGTCTAACCAATATAGCAGGCCCAGCTATGATTCTCAGAAATAAAATAGAAATAAAATCTATGAAACAATGATATATGTCTGTTAAACAACAAGCCAGTTTTCGTACTGGTTTGAAAAGTGATCTAACTACTTCCTCAAGAAAGTCAGACCATAATTATGTTGCTATTGTTATTTGTAACAATCCAAAACAGTATCTATTCAAATCAACTAATATTTTTTATAAAATAAAATTTATGCTTTTAACAGTTCAGGAAAAAATTTAACCTAATAAATCATTGTAATGTGTCGACTTCCCACTTCAAAACTTAAACTCTTTATGATTCATCCACAGTTGAGGGATAGAGTAAAGAATGTAAAAATTGATGCTATTTTTTCTTTCAATAAAGAAAATCAAATCAGATTATAAACTGGAAAAGAAAGATTAAGTTCTGACACAATGGTGGTTGAAGCAGGAAATTATGAAAAAAAAAAAAAAAAAAAAAAAAAAGAAAGAAAAAAAGAAGCTTCACAGCCTCAAGAAACAATTAGTTGAACAAATAGACTAGTAGGGAGTTCACTAGATGAGATATGACCCAGTTTAATTTAGCTTAGGAGCTTCATATAAAGTTTTCACATCTTAATTTCTATGTAGTTATGTAACTTTAATATGCATCTCAAATTTAGAATTTTACTGCGCATTCATGCGCACACAATTAGCAAATTCACTTAGTTGAAATATATTTGTAAAAACAAGAATGAAGATGTTAGTCTAAACAAATGACCAAGTTAGAAAACTTAAGACAGACACACCCAATAAGTGCAAAGAACAAATGACAAATGTAATCTCTTAACATGCAACAGTTATACAAGCACATGCCAAACATTTCATGACATCATACATATTGTATAACTCATCACACTAAACATTCATGCAGCAGCCAACCTTTAATAATCTTGATAACTACATTTGTACTAATTGTACTAACAAACTGTTTTTGTGTCTCATTTTTCATTCTTTGTATCACAAGAGAATTTTAAGTGGAGCAGAGGGGCAGGGGTTGAACAATATCTTTTTATATAATTAAAAAAAATAAAATAAAAAAAATAAAAAGCAAAGCTGAAATATGGTCAACTTCTAGGAGTCAGCTGCCATTGCTGTAAAACAAGGATGAAAACCACTCCTTATTATAGTCAATACTCCTTGTACCATTTTTTTTAACTCTTTGTAAATGATGCCGTCTGCTGTTTTTGTGTCAATTCTTTGTTTCTCATATGACTGGAATTGTAATCAACCAGTGCAAGCAAGGTATATACACAGTTAAAGCAAATAGTGGGGATGGGTTACTTGAAAAAAAAAAAAAGAAAAAAAAAAAAAGTAAATATATCTTTTATCAAATACAGAAATATCTCTCTGTATAATATTATTTGTATGCACATCCTACTTCAACAAATATCATCACCACAGTAAACAAACGTTGATCCACAAAACCACAAAGCAGGAGTCATGGAATATTTAATGTGTGTGCCAGCGTGGTCATCCGGTGTGTGTGCATGCATGGGTGTATGTGTGTGTGTGTATGTGTGTGTTTGTGTGCGCGCACGTGTGTGTGTATATGTGTGTGTGTGTGTCTGTGTACATGCGTGCGTGCAAGATTGTTGGTTTCTGTTGCACATTGGTGTCGGTCAGTAACATTACTCATGCATCAATGTTCACAAGCCTACACCTTTTCTGCCTCACATTTGCAGGCCAAAAGTGATGACCACACAATGGGAGCATATCACAGTACAATAGATGCTGACAACGGTAATGTCTGTTTTTTTTTTGGGGGGTGGGTTCTTCCCCCAATTACAACAAATGTCTCTTCAAATAATGAAAAGAGTCACATTTTGCTGCTGATGTCTTTTTCATTCTGCTGCCAGCAGCATTCTTTCATGATACTGACCAAACTCCATCGCAGCCTGTATGAAAGGCAATTGTGCGGTCATATCACAAGAGTGGCTGAGGAGGTGGGGCTTGTTGGTAAACAACGCCTGCTGCAGGGGCTACCACTCCAGCCCCAGAAGAAGGTGGAAGTCCATAGCCAGCATCCATGCTGGGCAGGGGCATGTTGTTCATTGAGGGGGGATTGTAGCTTGAAGAGGGTGGGCCATAGTTAGTCATAGATACACCATTTGGCGGTGCAGCAGTAACACTGAAATACATAAAACATAAAAATATTAGGAAAAAACAAATAAAGTAATGGATTTTACACATTATATATTCTAATAAATGTAAGTTTGCCAGTGAAAATGCTTGTTGAATAAAATTTTAAAAACACATCTAGGTTTTTTGAGAAAGAAAAATTTTGAATACCCAAATAAAATTCAATTTAACCAAGAAATTTCATTGGAACATTTATTTTCCTACAACTTTACTTTCAATGCATATTTAGTGATGGAAAAAGAAACACCTGAGATGCAGTTCTGGACTGGTGTTACCACACATTCACACCTAGAAGGGAAACTGATATATTATACATTAAGTATAAATATTTACATATGTACATGAAAAAGGTATATAAATAAATGCAAAGCAAAAAGTCATTTGATATTCCCTATTTGTACAAATTATTGTTTATATTTGACCGATTTAAAAAAAAAAAAAAAACTCTTGTGGAACTGCAATTGTCAATCTTTCCTTGACTATTCAAAAAATGTAGTCTTGTACCAAACTTTAACATTTCTTTAAAATAATATTTTCTATTAGAAACTTAGTAGCTATTCTGTCATCCTTCTGTACATTTAAGCATTAAAGATATGTATGTTGTGTGGACAACTATCATAATTAGTTTTGATTGCCTTAAGTGCTTGATGAAGCTTAGTATAGTATGCCAATGTCTGTGGTGGAATGACAAGGCTATGATACACTGGATGTGAGGTGTGTCTAGAGGACAAAGTCAAGTCAGACCTGCTTCTTGATGACCTTGAGACACTGTAGCACAGCCATAGACTACACTGAGCTGGCCATAGGGAATGCAGCAAGGGGCCTATCAAAAAGGTGAGGTCAGCAAAGGGAGAGAACAGATCAAGATGACCTTGGAAAAAAATTGGGACTAGAACTAGCTGAGGCTAGTGACAGGCCTACATGGAAAGGTAAAATGAGTTCCTCTGTTAGACAGGACCTGATCTTTTTTGCAAGATTAATCCCAGTCCCGTCTCCACACCCCCCCCAAAAAAAACATGGCTATGATGGTGATGAAGTTCCATACAGATTTACAGGCCCTATATTATAATAGCAGCTTATATCAACTTATTGTAAGCCCATACACAAATTTTATTTAGAAGAGTTTTTTTTGGGATAAAAAGAATTAGATTCACTATAGTTCATTAAAAGTTCAAATATAAATAACCTTGACACCTGTGGTACATATGAAGAATTGCTAATATTAATTTAAAAAAAAATTATAATTTATGATCATTAAGGTCTTTAAAAAATGACCATTAAAAGTAGAACAAAAAAAAACAAAAAACAACAGTAATGATATTTTTGTGGATAGATCAAAAAGTGATAAACTGATTATTTGATATTCCAAGTGATTGTTGGTTTCAACTGACTGAGGATGACTGTTAAGAACACTCACCTCCACAGTTTTATAAACAAATCCTACAGATGCATGCTGGGATTTCTTCCTAACCAATAAAAATGGACCAAATCTAGGTCTGTCCTGGGTATGATGATAAACTATAACCGCGTCCTGGGTAAGACGATAAACTACGTCCAATAGCAAGGCCTCTGATCAGGAGGTTTTGAGGAGTGTGGAACTACCTCTTAATTGCTGGCGTTCCCAGGTCCACCCTGACCCAGGGTGGTAGCACCTGTTAGGGACCCAGCTATGGGAAAATAGTTAACACCCAAACTTCTGTAAAAATAGGTTTTAATACCAGAAATACTTTGTAATAAGAAAAAAAATATTACCAGCAATAATTTTTGAAGGAAAAATTATTATCAGTAATACTTAAAAAAAAACAAAAAAAAAACAGTACTAGCAATACAAACAGCTATACATTCTTTGAAAAAATATGACCAGCTATAGATTTCTCCAAGGAAAAATATTCCTAGAAAGAGATTTTTGAAGAAAAACATTACCAGCAATAAAAATTTTGTTGGCATTAAATAATCCATTGAGGTTGATATGCCGTAAAACAAAACAAACCAAACCAAACCAAACCAAATTTTGCATGTGAACATCATTCTTACTTTGTGAACTTTTGCCTTATTTCTTTACCTAGTTTTGACTTGGATACATATTATTTGCTTAGTATTATTTTACCCTATTCTTTTTTTTTTCCTTTTAGTGACCTTGTCAATTTTGTTTGTTGAGAATTTTGCCAATTATACTTAACCAGAGCCAATTACTCAACTGACACCCAAATGATTAAATTTTCAAGTCACTTAACTATTTATGTCCCTTGAGCTAACACCAAGGAAGTTTTAGTTTGTGAAAAGTGTTTAAAAAAAAAAAAAAAAAAAACAAGGGAGGGGGGATGAAAGATATCCCAAAATCTAAAATATGCATAGTATACATCAAGAAATCTTTAACACCAAGCTTTTATTACAAATAAATAAGAATGTGACTCCCCGCCCAAATTTCTAATGAAAGGACTATAAATTAGAAGTAACATGTGCCTTCAATGAAGAAGGTAAGTGAATATCCATGCAGCAAGAATAATCCTACCGACCAGAAATACTCAACAAAGCTGTCCACTTGCAGACATTTACAAAAAAGAAAAAAAAAAAAATTCTTGAGCCTCTGCCCAAAGTCTTATGAAGTAATTCAATGATACTTACCCATTGTAGGGTTGTTGCCCTGCAGATGCCACAATGGAATTACCATTTATACCCTGAGCAGGAGCTTGTTGCTGTGCCATCATACCTGCAGGCATTGGTCCCTGGGGTCCTGGTGCATTGTTGCTATGCATTCCATGTGAAGGACCACTCACTGCAGTAGCAGCAGCTGGAGGAGGGGGCGGAGGACCTTGACCAGGGTTTATGTACTGAGGTTGACTGGCATACTGTTGCTGCATGCAGAAAAATTGATTTTCTTTAAAAATGATATTACAGATTTATAATTTTTATATTGGTATTTAAAAGATGAGAAAATGGGATTTTTTTTTTGTACTTTCTAATTATTATTTGATAAGATGAGGCTGATTTTTAATCCTCATTTGTAGAAGAGAACAAATATCCTGTATTTTGGCGCATATAATCCAATTTATTAGACATTAATATTTTAAGGTTGCAAAATTTAAATATTTATATTTAACTCAACAGAACTACCATATAGCTGCAAATTCTGACAATTTTAAGTTAAATATATTCAATATAGCTGGGTTCTGAGATTTATAGCATCTTTAGCTAATAATGTAATCATGAATTGCACATTTGGTGACAAAAAACTGAATTTGAATCCAATTTTCTTAAAATCCATTACTAGTGCCAGCAATATTGACTTTGTTATTATTATAGTATAAGCATGTCCACTGTTTTCGCGGAAAAACAGCATAGCGTAAATGAAAAATGCCACAAACTTAAAGAAAATAAAGTATTATCGTCAAAATGCTTATGTTATTATTAAGATGAAAGAAAAAAGTATTTTTTAATTATTTTTTGAAATTTTTTAATATTTTCTAACACGTTTGAAATTTTGGTTAAAGTCGTCTTTGTTTATGTCATCGCGGCGACGTTTAAAATAACATTGTTTTTTTTTTTTGGCGTTTTTTTACCGTTGAAAACGTATTGATTTGGAAATTCTTGTAAAAATAAAATAATTGTCCGATCTTAATGAAATTTTCAGGACTTATTTACAAATCAATGAAATTATTTTTGAAATATTTTTTTTTAGAAAATTTTGGTAAAAATTATATTTTTTTAAAATATGTTACCCCACATTTATGTAATTTAATGAAATTTCGCCCAAACCTTTTTGGTTCCTGAATTTTTTTTTTTTTTAAAAGTAGGAGTCTTGAGATGGTAAATAACCTACTTTTTTTTTTTTTTTTCAAATTTGAGCTATTTAACTGAAAATCTGCTCTGAATTGAAAAATAATGAATCAATAAAACTATGATATTACTTAATTGGAAAAAGCTTTTAATTGCTTTTGTAAATAAGTAATATTAAGACATTATTGTCTGAAGAAATAATTTTTTTCTGATGAATAATTAATTTTTATAAAATTTTTTTCGTTTTTTTAAGAAATTTTAATTATAATTATTTATAATAGTTTTAAATCGTGTAAAGCTCTGGATTAGGAGGGTTCCTCGATATTACGTAGTAATTAAGTAGAAAAAAAATTCTTAATCCAAAATTGCTAAGTTTAATAAATTTAGTTGCGCTACTTTTTTTAAAAATAATTTTTTATGTTGTATTTTTTTTACTTAATACATTCCTTATTTCCATGTATGATATACAGAAATTGCCATTATTATAACAAGGTCACGTGATCTAAGGGTTTTGTCCCTTTACGTGGCCTTTTCAAAACATTTTGTTTCTTACAGATTGTATTTTCCGTTCAGCTAAAGTGTAAACTTTAAATTTTAAATTATTTTTTCTTTTTTTCATTTACTATTTCACTAAATAATTTTATCTTATGTATTGTATTTCCATTAGTGTGTGTCATACTCAAATAGAATAATTTTTTAAAAACTCAGACTTAAAAATTATGTAATTTATGGTCATCAGTAGTAGCTGTCATCGCTAAATCAATCAACCATCATCAATAGATCGAACAGATGAACAGGACCACTCGTTAATAATTGGTTGTATATTATTTTTTTTATGCTATAAGTAACAAAGATTTCTTTGAAATCAGATTACTTTAAATTTTTTAATTTTACTAAAATAACGTGTCAGAATTTTTTTAAATATTTTAAAAATCGATAAATTTGTGTTTGTTTACAAATTTCTTAAAATTAAGAAAATGGCCGTTTTTAAGAAAATTTAAAATTTTGAAATTAAATTTGACAATCAAATGTATATAGTTTCTATCTGAAATACACCAGAATTGTTTAATTAATAGAAATCGTAAATTTAATTATTAAACTTTCAATTAAAGCTAAAATGAAATCTTCAAGAATGTTTTTTCGTTGTAAAAAATTCATTTTAAACTTCAATATAGAAAATTTATGCCGAAATAGTGGAGGTACTTATTATAGTAGGATAAAATAAGATATGGAAAGAAATTGAAGGGGAACTACCATTCTCATTTTATTACCCCAATAAATATTACTATAGCAACAATACAAAGACACACATAAAAAATCTCAGCCTGTTCTTTATCTATCTATCCATCCATCTATATCAGCCTGTTCTTTATCTATCCATCCATCTATATCAGCCTGTTCTTTATCTATGTTCAATTTTATGCAAGTCATTGTTTTCACAAGAAAATATTGATAAAATTATATACACACACACGATAAGTACACAATGTGAATTTTCGCTTAAAATATTTTATGCTTCCAATCATTTGAGGATGTGAATGACCATGGCTCTCCACAATTCCTCCCTTTTTTTTTACTCTAAGTAACTTTTGACTTTTTATCACATTCTTTGTTTCTGTTCTACCATCCATGCACAAAAACTAGTTAAGCAGATAGTCACCGTTTTCCCCTGATTCTCTTGCCTTCATTGTCCTGTGAATGTTTAATTCTCTAGGCCAAAATCAAAAAGAATCTATCTAAATTAAACATAAAAATTGTTGCTACTACAGCCAAAATGATAAAAGACTACAAAGTTGAAGTTTATTCCATTGCCTGTGATAATTGTCACAAAAAACACACAGGAGAAACCCCAAGGAATCTAAATAAAAGATTATATGGACACAAAAAGGATATTTTACAAAATAATACATCAAATGTGTCGGTTGTCCACCATGATGAGATTGACCACAAACTTGGCATAAAAAATGCTTCTTTGATCAAAGGAGAAAATAATTCACTATGACAGAAATGTCTAGAGATTGTCTTAAATACAAGATTAACTATGGTAAATTTTTGCCCTGGCTCTTTCATTTTGCCTTTCTTGGCAGATCTTTCACTATCACAGTGTGGAATATCTACTTACAAAAGTGTTGGAAAGGAAAAGTAAAAGACTAAGTGAATTTGGCTAGATACAAAAAAAAAAAAATAAATAAAATTCTAAAATTTCCAGCTCTCTTCTGTTGTGCACATGTGTAGTTCTACCAACTTAACAAATTTAGTCTGCTAAAGTTTTGAAGGATGAAATGCGCCACAAATAAACTTTTCCCACTTTGTCATACAATTTCCCCAATACTGTTCTTGGTTCTTGATACATATATTATATATATATATATATATATATATATATAGATATATATATGTATGTATACACACACAACAATTAGAAAACATTCATGAAAGTATATTGTGTCAAAATATATCTGATTATGTATTTTGTCATTTAAAAAAGCCAGACTTGTGTATTTGTGCATGCTTAATAATAATGAAATCTTACCCCCCCACATGAAGCTGGCTTTGCTCATGATTAAAAAAGAAAAAAAATCTTTGACTTTTAAAAAAGTTGTTAACATGTTCTTTGCTTTAAGTTTCCAAGTTGAAAGATATAATCCTTCAGAATGGGTAGAAAAAATAAAATTTCATTAAACATACACAAATACATACACACAACTCATTTTTCCTAAATGGCATAATTGGATATATTTCAAAACAATATACTTTCATGAACGTTTTCTAATTGTCAGGATTTTAAAACTTTGTCAGAATCACATACTCTAATTTTTTAAAACACTGGAACACCAACCTGTTGAGCAATATCATTGTGCAACTTTCATTTTTAAAGTTATAATTACAAATTGTGTTCTCTTACTTCATTTTGCTTCAGATACTTCATGGTAGAAATAATTACTGATGTTTTGAGCACTGAAGAACATACAGGTTGCCATATCCAATAATTACCAATAAAAGATTTTTAAAAATGACTATGCTAATAAAAACACATATATAAAAACATCTAAACACGAATATATACATCAAGATCATGTTTAACAGCTAAATTGCTACCAATGACTTCTATTTTAATTTCAGATAATCCAGTGCATATATCTTTTAGAGTTTCAGTAAAGCTTAATTGTACAGCATTGCATTATAAAACGTTTTAAATCACAGTAAAACTATGATTTTTGCAAGTTATACAGCAAAATAAATTTTGATGAGTAGTAAAGTTTTCTGTAAAGGAACATGAGACATCAATAGTGTGAAACAGTCATATATATTACCTAGTACTTATATAAAGCTCAGTATGGTTTGCATAGATTTCGTGATAGTAGGGAGAGTGATTATAAAATTTCACAAACTTTTTGGTTGAATGCTGACAAGACTCTTATAAAATAAAGAGCATATTTTACTTTCTTACACAACACAAGTTGTATTATGTGTGAATAAAGATTGAACTACAGATTTTATAATTTACCAAAAAGATCTGAGATTTTCCTATTTCTTTAAATATAAATTGTAAGAAAAAAAAAAACAAACTTACTGGTGGGTGTCCAGATGGAATATAAGTTGCTGGTGTTTGTTGGGGTGGTATCTGGTGTGGGCCTGATTGGTGGGGCATGTAGAATCCTGGATTTTCTTTCATCAGGTTGTGGTACATTTGTAAGGCATCCATCACTTTTAAGTTTAATTCTACTAAACTGGCATGCTTTCTGCAATGTAAAAAAAAAAAAAAAAATTAAAAAAAATAATTATTAGGCTACTTAACACTGCATTTATAAGAAGAGAAAATATATGTCCATGCGTTAAACAAATGTACATTAAATAAAGTTTAACAAGATTCAACTATAATGGATATTGTTATTTTTCATTCCCAAGTAGACAGTTTAAACAAAAGTTGAAAATGGCAGAAACTTATAGGTAAAAAGTGTCAGTTTATTGTTTTGTAAAATGTTAACAGCTAAAAGGATAAAACAAACACTCACTTGTCAATTCTTTCCAATTCAGCATCTATGAGTGGTCCCATTATTTTACATTGTTCTGAAAAAGAGAATATTAGTATTTCAAGAAACACAATTCTCATGGAATCAGCATAATACAATAACTAAAGAAAAGCAGTAAAATACTATGATGGTAAACTTTAATAAAGAGTACTATGAAGTGTGCCATGTTAGTTCACTGTAAATTTTGCTACAATAAATTAGTATTAATGATTTGGTTAAGTTCAAAGTTAGCAAAAATGAGCCTTTGTCTCTGAATAAAAAACTTGTTTATAGAAAAGTATCTTGTATGAGTTACAGAGAAAGATGCTAATTGTATATTGTAAATTTAAAATGTTTTTAATTTCACAAAAACCAACCTTTAAAAGAAATCTAAAACATTTTCCATTAAAAATGAGAAAAAGTTAGCCAGCTTGATTCCATGTACATTTTGCCCACATTTTTAATCTTGTTCATATTTCAATTCTTGTTAAATGTTTATTACGAGTTTTTACTTGTATGTCATGCACAGGTGAAAGAGTAGATCAATTACATCATTAAGTGGATACAGAAAAGATTAATACAAGTTTGAAAATAAAATAAAAATAGTCAAAAAGTAATTAAGTTTATATTACTATGATGAAAAATTATAGGTAACGTTCCAAACATTAAAACAGGAGATTCAACTATTAATAATTAGCAAGATAGATTTGATTAAATACCTTCAAGAGGCAGCAGCTCAGCTGGATCAGGCTGGCTTTCTCCTGTTGGATCTGCATTCTGTATCATTGTGAGTACTTGGTCAATTTTAGCCTGAATCAATGTAAGTAAATCCCATTATCTTAAGTATAATCAACTCATAAATTCACTCATCAACTTCTTTTCACATCTCATATAAGCATTATTTACATTTAGAGGGAAACTACAGCAATAAAAAAATGATAGCCAAATTGTACATTTAAATTAAACATTTTCTCTAAAATGAAAGAATGGATTTCAAATAAATATCACTTTAGTAAAACTTAAAAATGAATCAAAAAAGCCTTAAAAACCATGCCCAACACACTTAAATATCCATTAGCTTTATTACAAAAAACTTAATGACTAAAGTAGGCTAATTCATACAATTAAAATTATGAAATTCTTGAAGTATTATCAAAAGACTAATAATTTAGTGATGGAATGAAAACATCATAATAGGTTCTCATTTTTTCTTAAATTTATCAAATAGATATACTTTAAAAGGACAATATCATTTATACAGTCTCTATATCTTTAAACACATTCATATTATTCAAATATTTTATACTCTCCACACCAGCATCTTGAATTGTGTTAAACATTTCTTTTACAGAACTGAATAAAACTGTTACAATTAAGTATGGATCTGACTCACCTCATCAATCTCCACTTCATCAGTCAATGTCTCCATAACTTTCACATCCACCTCCTCATTGAACTGAACTCCTTTTTTTTCTTTAGCTGATAAAAAAAATATTAGCAAATTCAATTTCATAATCATCATGGCTTAATGCAAATAATGAACATTTTATGATGCTGCTGCATCAACCAAATAAGAAAAAATTCTTAAAATATATTTTCCAGCAAGAACAGCTTTCCCAGAGTAGGTGCAAATATTTTTGTGACTAAATTAGTACATTAAGTTTCATTATTATAATAAAAAACAGATATTACTATATAAGATGAAAGACTCTTAAAAGCAGGCAATAAAGATAAATGTTTTGCTCACAAAATTGGGGATTGCTAAGACAAAAGCATATTTAGCATTACTAGACACACACTTAGTAAAAAATGACATCAAATTCCCATTACAAATGACAACCTTGTAAATATCTAATTTAAAATTAACAATTGCAGTAAAGATAAAGTTACATTTCCTATGCAAATAATTAACTACTTCCAACATTACAAATTAACATATACACAACTTTGTCTAACACTAAAGAAACTTCTAGTCACAAATAAAAACAAAAATTATTACAAGATTTTCACCACATGCAAAGATATTTTTGCTGGTAATTATCATCAAATGGTATCAAACTAACTACAAAACCATTCATGGATTCATGAATTTAAAGCTAACACATCTTTGATGAATAAAAGCAATAAAAAAAAAAAGATCAGACAAACGCCCACACAAAGAATATGTTTACAATCTGTTATAATAGCCATAACATAGCTGCTAAAAAACAAAGCAAATTGAAGCAAAACAAGTATAGGTATTAATATAGCCAAAACATAAAATAAAAAACATGAAAAAGTTTCTTCAAATTTAGACTAATTAATTTTTTTGATAAATGTTATATACAGGGTGCAGCAGAAATACCTCCTACATAATGGTAAAACATTAGTGACAATGGTTTCTTAATCTAGCTAATATTACATGAGAGTTATTTCTGCCACACCCTGTAATTATATATATATATATATATATATATATATATACACACAAACATATAAAATCTAATAGAAAGAATGTTTAAATACAAACAAAGAATATTCATTTCTTTCATTTTGTGAGTTTTACAAGAGTGCAATAAACATTTTGAATTAACTAATTTTTATCATAAAACAAAAAGAAACAAAACATACTGTCCTCAGGTTCTGCTGTCAAATCTGCAGTCACAAAATTGGCAGGAAATAGACCTTCCCCTCGGTGACTGAAACCTTTCCACCAATTAGGATCTCTGAAATAAAAAAAAAAATTAAAAAAAAAAAGAAGAAAAGAATTAAATTGTTAAGACAACAAGTGTTTCTTTTTAATACTTAGGAGCTTTAATGATAACTCCCACTCATGTAAATGTTATAAATTTTTCTTTATTTTAGTGTCTAAATACACTATTTCAACAGAACAGGTAAAGAGACATTTTGATTTTTCAGTCATGATATCATTTAAATCTCAGTAGAATTTGCAAGATTCATAAGCATCATAATTTTCTATCATTAATTTGTTGCACTATTCTTTTAGTACTCTTTGCAATAGTATTTATCTTCTTTGTGAATACTAATAATAATAATGATGATGATTGTTGTAAGGAGAAAAACCCACTGCTCATACAACAGGATTCTTGAATTTAAAAAGTAACACACAATATTTTTTGAATATAAATAAACAGTAAAGAAAAAAAAGAATCAAAGAATATATATGTAAACTGTCATTAAAATGATGGCCAAATAATAAAACCATAAAGCAAACTGTTACTGATGAGAAAATGAATTTTGTATGATTAAAGAAAACTCACGAGTCATCCTGTACACTAATGATTTCCCCTGCTTTAAAGTTAAGTTCATTATCTTCTGCTGCTTCAAAGTCATAGAGTGCTCTCACCTAGACAAAAAAAATAAGCATAATCATTAGAATTTTTACCAGATAAACAAAATGGATTTAAAAAAAAAAAAAAAAAAAAAAAAAAAAAAGAAAAGAAAGTGTAATTGCTTCCATATATAACCTCCCTAGCTGAGATTTCAGTTTCATATACATTACTCAAATGTCTATAAAACCTGTGAGAAATTCTCATAGATACTATAACATAAAACGCCACTGTTGATTTTGCTGCTAAATATATAAATTGTAATAAGGGGATTAATTAACACCCACAAAAATAACCCAAAGATTTTTAGTCAATCGACTGACTAATAGTAGCTAAGGGATTAATATTGAGATGGGTAAAACAAAGGAAGCAACATGCACCAGTTTTACAGTTTCCAAAACAATTTTCAAGCATTCAATTAATCTTTTAATCAATTCAAAATTTTTACCACTCTCTAAAATTAATCAGACGCTGACAAGAAATAGGAGACACTGAAATTGACATTCTATGGCTCTTCCGTTGTCTTTTATATTGGTTTTCAAACACCGATTGATTAGCTTAATAGCTTATAGAAAAATATATTTATCACATTCTATGTGAACAAAGATGCTCTTAAGAATGATAATGGCAAAATAAATTTACTTACTTTTCTGTACTCTTTGCTTTTTGGCAATGAGCTGCTATTTGTGCTATTGAAAGCAGATGGATACAATGTACCACCAGATTTGGATTTTTCAGCCTCTTGTAATGAAAGGGCAATTGCTGTTTAAAAAAAAAAAAAGAAGTCAGGACAGATTTAAAAATGATTGAAAGTTAACAGAATGTCAGGTGGAATAATGAAAATCTTACAATAAAGAATCAGATTTTTTATGTTTGTCATATTTGGATATACCAACAGCTTTAATAAATTGATGTTATGCAAAATTAATGCTACCTTTACTAGTGGGGATACTCAGTATTGCTTGGAAGATCTCTGAATAATAATTTATTATTTGATATTTTTTAGCCATATTATGGAAAATAATTTTTTATTCAATCTTGAAAAAATAAAGATCATTGTTTTTTGGTTTGTTACAAAATAACTAAATTTAGGAAAATACCACACTACCAATACCACACTTGGGGAGGTGGGGGCTTAGGGGGCTGAGCATCTCCATATTTTTATTCAAAAAGACACTTTATTTTTCGATTTAAATACTAACATAAATACTGTTTGATTTGTTTGAAAACAGCATTAACAATGTTCATTAATTTTTTTCAAATTATTAATAAAAAGTAAATAAACTTAAATTAAGATATATTTAAAATTATTTAATTTAGTCATTTTTTTTTTTTGCAAGCAAAAACCATAGCAAGCCTTACTTCTTCAAAAGATAATTATTTACTAATTATTTTAGAGGGGAATTTAGATTTTTTTAAGTAAATAAAGTTTCACTTTTAAACATTAATTACTATTTTGAAAAATTTGAGAATTTAGTTTTGAAAAGTGATTATGTTTAAATTTCAAGTAATATTTGTATTTGAAAAGAAAAACCAAACTTTAGTTAAATAAAAATTAGGAGAAACAGACATTACTTATAGTCAACATTAGTCATGTTGAATATTTGTTTTACAAATTTAAAAATAAGGATTGCCATAGTTTTTGCTTTAATAAAACTTAATTGAAAATTATTTACTTTTTTTATGTTAGTTATAAACAACAAAAAAAAGACAATGAAGTTTATTTCTAAAGATTGAATAAAAATTTTTTTTTCCATAAAAATAGCCGAAAAATATTAATAAATCAATAATACACACACATACATACACACAACTGCTTTTTAGGGTGATACTGAGTCTGTATATTTATTTTGTAGCCACACACACACACACAAATGATTGAATAAATAAAAATAAAACTTTTTGTCAATTAACTGTATTTAATATTATTATTCTTTTAATTTTACTTTGTTGTTTTAATATTCATTTTTTAAAAGTTACTTTTATTTACTATAGATGTGAAGAGAATAGAAATTTTTAAAAATAAATACATGTATAGCATTTCGAAAGTATCAACAGAATAAGAGTAAAAACGAACGGTAATCATAATAGAGAATAAAAATTATTATTGTTCATTTTTACTTTTTAATTTTGAGAATTTCTAATGCATTTTAATTTTAAAATATCTTTATAAATACAAATCTTTTTTTTACAAATGGACTGAATGATAATGAGCCTGTATGTATATTTACTCTGTCATGAATTAATGTAAGGTTTTATTTGGACACACATACACACAACTGCTCTTTATATATGCAGAGATAACGCATTTTAGTAAAATAAAAAAAAAAACTGAAGATGCAGATGTCAGCAGCCATTTATTTTACACAAAGAATAAATTCTTACTTTTTAACCATCTAGAAATGAAGTATATGACATTTGTGAATACTTATATTTCAATGAACTTATGCAAACAATATTAGCCAAATTTCTATGCATTTTTCTGTAATTCATGTAAATCTCTTATTTTTTAAAATTCTAATAAATTGAGAAATGGCTTAGAAGTTGGATAATTGCAAAATGTTAATATCTAACATTACAGGAAAAGTTTTCATCATAATCCGACTATTTAACACAAAAAAATTAATATAAATCACAACTTGATAAATAGAAAATTTTACTTCCTCAGTCAATTACAAATGTGCCTAGATAAATTACAGTAGTTTTTTTTTTATAATTTTGTAACTATTTTTTTAAAGTTTCACTCTTCTTAAATAGTGAAAAATAGTATAAAAATGTTATCAAGATTAAGAATTTCAAAAGGTTTTCATCTATAAAATGTAACCTTCAAGTGAATTTTACAGAATTAGTTCACTGACTGACCTTTAGCTATGTCATCTTCTTCTTGTTGTGTCTGTACAGCATCAGGATTGGAAATCAATGTTGTAGATTTCTTTGGCTGAAAAAAGAAAAATTGCACAACTAAGACAAAACATTTAATATAAATTCATTATAAACAAACCAACATTTTTGATTAATTGGATCTGAACGTGAGTTATCTTTTATGATAAAAAATGGTTGGCTTAAAAATACAATAAAACATAAAATATGAATTTTGTTTTGGTAAAAAATGTAATTTTCTCAACAAAACTTCATTGAAGATTTTTTGCCAGGTCAAAGTGAAAAGACAACTTGTGGGTATATACATTAACAAAATACACTATATACTGAAAAGTTTAAAATATTTCTGTCAGTTTAAAAACAAATCATTTTTATTTTAAAGTTTATAAAGGAGATACAGAAAACGCCACCTAATGTTTTGCAACTTTTAAAAAAGTCCATACAATAAAATCATAATGTGATGATAAAGGAATAAGTCTAGAGTCTGACAGCTGAATTTTGATATGAAACTTTCACTGTAACTATTTGATTTACATGATTAATGGGGAAAACATTAGATTAATTGCATTGACAAAAGAGGAAATTATTTTGAAAAATAAATATTTGTTGAATAAAAATGTTTCCCTATTAAGCTTTGGACTTATTAATGTACTTAGATACATGAGAAATTAGTCCAACCTACCATACTATCTGGATCTGAGAAATCATGTCCTTCTTTTTTCAAGCTTTCGTACAAAGAAGGAATTAAACTGAAAATAATAATAATAAAAAAAAAAAAAAAAAAAAAAAAAAAAAAAAAAATCCATTTATAGATAAAATATAAACAATTAAAAAAAAAAGAAAAGAAAAACAATCTTATAAAATGAAAATATCTTATTAAAAATTAAAAATATAAAAAAAAAAAACTTTATCAAATTTCTTTAATTTATTCATATTTAAAAAAACGTTTGTAAACATAACTAGTGTATTTGAACATATTTAGAAAGAATTTGTACTGAAATGATATTGTATTTTATTTTGGTTAATTACATAAATTATTTGATTAGATATATGAGAATTGAAAAAGCACTCACTTGAGAGAGGGTTCATCTTTAAATTCTGGCATTTCAGCCCATCTTTTTATCAATAATTTCAGTCTTTGTGCTACTTTTGGGTGAGCCTGAAAAGAACAGTTCAAACAATTCTTATGAGCAACTTTAAAAAGAGAATATGAAAAACAAAAGTGCTTGATATCAAATTATTTTTTCTTGTATTATCTGTAATGATTTTCTTTAAAAATATCTTCCTTAAACAAAAAAACAAACCTCTAGATCCTTTTCTATACTGATAGATACTTTGAATAAATTATAAATTGTCTTGATCACAAGATAAATAATTAGTATTTTCTAACATAGCAACAAAACATGTAACACAAAGCACTTTGAGTGCTTTTCTAGTTTGATAATATAACAAGCTTGTTAGTTCATCATTATTTAATTTAGTAATACAGAAAGAGTCACCCATTATATATATATATATATATATATATATATATATATATATATATTTTATACAGACAAAATATAATTTTTCTTTGATTTTCATTTTGTAACATGATTACATACATGTTTGTGTCACTTGATGACAAATTGAATAAAGAGATACAAATATTTGTTGGTAACATTTAAATTGCTGAAGAATACACCAAAAGGTAAACTTTACTATTTAGTTCAGCAAACATATAATAAATAAAATAATTAAATTCAGTTTCAGACTCACTGTGGATTAAATCATTAAAATCAAATCTTGACACTGTAGCCTGGTTGAGAATTAAACTCTTTATAACATTTATTTAATACACCATTCTAAAATTTAAATACTTGTGAAATGATTGTTTATACAAATAAATGTTACATCATAAATATACAAGTGTAAAAAGAACATACAGATTATATAAATATTGTAATTATGAAAAAAAAAACTGTTACAAAAATTTGATTCCAGATTTCTGTACACTAAGAATACTCAGCAAACACGAAATGTAAAAGCAACATAAACAGTTAAAAGTCTAGGCTATTTAAGAAGGACAATAATGTGCATATGTATTATATGTCAAATATTTATTTTGTCAATAGAAATTCATAAATTTGTTTGTTTTTTTCCATGTCATCATAGCTCCTAGTTTAAGTTGTACATGCTGAATTAAATCTTTAGTTAATTACTTTGATTTTTTTAAAAAATATTTTATTTCTTACTGTCCTTGAAACATCTCTTAAAATTCATTAGTGCTATATTTCAAATGTAGTTGCTCCATGGGATTGTGTGCTTTGATGGATCCTTGAATAAAATTGACTTAAATTTAGAATTCTTTTATGTGCTATCAGGGCATGGGTGATCATGGATCTCCACAAATTCCTATCATTTGTAGCTTTAAGCAATGTTTGTCCAATTACTACTTCCCATCCATTTACCGAAGCTTATTAGGCAGGTTGTACAATGTTTCCCTCTGTCTTTCTTGTTTTCAGTATGTTCTGTAAGTGTCAAATTCTCCAAGCCCTCTTTCCTCTTTATGTGTCCTAGAAATTTCAACTTTCTCTGATTCTAAGTACAAGTGCCCTTTTTGTTCCCATTTTCTTTAATAATTTCTCATTGTTCACATGTTGTGGCCATGGTATTCTCAGTATCCTTGTGAAGAACACATCTGTTGCCTCAAGAGGAAATTGTCCAGCATTCACTACTATATAGGATGATAGATAATAAATCAGAGTTCAACAGACTTGTTTTCATTTTCTTTTGGAAGGCATTTTTTAATATTCCAATGCAACTTTGGATTACTGTGTCACATTTTCTGTCATCTTTTATAACACTTGCCAGACAGTTAAATGTAAATATTTGATTGATTTTAAGGTTTCCAATTTGTAGCTAACATCTTGGGCTATCCCTCTTGCTAACGTCTATACATTGACTTACAATTAATTGCCCTTTCTTCCTGCAATTTTCTTTCTCTATCAAAACCATATGTCATCTGTATATCTTATTAAGATCGTGTTCACCAATAATGAATTCTGGTAGGACTGTTCTTTTAGGATTCATTATATTGTATATATATTTTTGTGTATTTTTCTATCTGTATGCAGGTAGTTTGTTCCCAATAAATGTTTCAGATTATTCTTTTACATGCATGCACACTAAGATCATATTTCAGAAATTAGCTTACCTTTTGTCCAATTAAAGTTCGGCATTCAGATACAAAATCACGAGAACAAATTTCCAAGTGGAATGGACGACCACAGTTATTCACACATGCATCAAGAAGCTGAAATGAATTAAATATTGGGCAGAGAAAAAATAAGCAGGAAAAAATTAGATCATAAGAATCTAAATTAAAATATTTTGTTCTTGAAACTGACATTTTTGTCCACTGAAGTTCCCAAAAAAAATGAAATTGTGAAGCAGAGTTTTCTCAAATAAATCATATAGTTCATCCTTATTAGAACCTATTGTCACAATTAACAGAGATATACTTCACAACAGTGAGAAAGTACATATGCATAAGAAAATTGTTATAAAAAAAACAAAAAAAAAAACTGTATAGTAATTTTAATGAAAATCTTAAATCTATAGAAATACACACTTGCCAAAGGTATGTAAATTTAACGATAGGTGGCATGACTGTGGCTTGGTGTCACAGAAATGTTCAGACCTATATTGTGTACTCTGACATCTGGTGAATCAGTGTGAACATTGGTTAGGCTGCTCATGCAAGACAACATGAATTATTAGAATTCAAATGGGGTATGATAGTGGGTGCCAGATTTTAACATTACTTGATGTATGGTGTCACATGTCTACTAGAAATGGTTTATGGGAGATGTTACTACTCACTGAGGATGACAAGGAGGTCAATCACAGTGCCAGAGATGGTTTAACGAGTATTCTAGATACTTCCCCTGAATGGTGTGGCCACCATGTTTACCTGATATAAGTGCAAGTGATCATTTATAGCACATTATGAAGAAGTCAATTTACAGACAAGACCCTGCACTTGCAAATATAAATGAGCTAAGGACAGGTACTGAGGCAGCATGGCCTAAACATTTTTCCTGAAGTCTTCAAGCCATTTGCCAGGTTATGTTGCTACATTTTGTCAGGTTAGATGATGTTCTTCATAACATCGGTGTAAGATACTATATATAGTATCAAGAGAGAATTAAAAAAATCTAAAAGATCACGACAGAAAAAAAAATTCTAAATCCCAAATAGACAAATCAAAGATTCATTATTACATTCTTTGTCATACAATAAACCTATCAAAAGTATTTTTGCTATAATAGTAATTCTCTTTTGATGCAATTTATAAAAAATAAAATAAAAAAATTGGTGCAAGATCCTGCAAATATTCTAGGTCTATTGTTGCTCTAAACATACAGCAATCCTAAAATTATACTTCATAACATATACACACATCAGTACTTACTGTTAGAGCTTGCATTGTTACAAAAGGAACTTTATGGTTCAAGCGTTTCACAATAGCTCGTAGACAATCTTTGGGACTGGAGAGAAAAAATAAAAATGATCAAATACTTTAAAAAGTCTAAAAAATAAATAAACAAAAAGATTTAAAATTGTAAAAACAAGATCATATAACATCAAGTGAGAAAGACAAAATAGCAGGTCATTGATCTCCAATATTTGTATGAGATTTAAAGAATGAGAACACTTATCATATTGATTCTTGTGCCATGTGTCTGTGTACCCAACTATGTTAGAAGCAGTGTCTTTGCTTCACACTGAGCAGTTAGAGTTGGACAGACATATGCACTGTGGCAAACAAAAGGAGTAGCAAATAAGAGCAATGAATGTAATGCGGCAGTTCACAGTGGATTGCTTAGTAGCTGTAAAATGGAGTAAAATAACATCAGTCATTTCATTGCTGGTTGTTTTGCATGTGGCAATTTTGTAAGGATGTATTAGAAAGGTTAGTGGCTTATAGACATAATCTTGAAAAAGGAATCTGCTCACAAATAATGAAGAAGAGCATGACACCAATATCTTTTAAAAGATATTTGCAAGCCTAATTATTTTGCAACATCTAAAACATTATATCCCAATGGCTAAATGGTAGAGTATTAGATTATAGGTTAAAAGATATCATAAAACAAAATTTGGAGCCAGGTAAACAAGGATCATTATGATTTAATATCATTTACTTTGCAATTTTTAATACTAAAAAAGATGTAGTAAGTCTTATTTTTCTAAAGCAAATATTTAAACCATACACCCATCTTTAAAGAAAATAAATGTTAATAATCAACTTATCAATCATCATGGGATAAAATAGGAAGTGTAGAATTGATAACAAAAGGAATATGTTTATATTTAAATTGTTTGACTTGAGTGGTTCCAGGCTATCAGGTTAGCAGCTATATTGGACTATTTGGTGATTTCATTCTTTTTACTTCAAATAAAACTATTCTTTTTTTATATATAAAAAACATATTTAGCTTACAAATTAAAAGAATACTTATTTATTGATGAAATGGGGTGGAAGGCAAACCTTAATTTAAAAAAAAAAATGCTAGTTAGTAAAATTAGAAATAAAACCACCTTATGTAATCAATTCATTAAGTTATTCAGTGACTCTTTTACAAAAACATTTTAGTTTGCTTTAGTTATTTAACACCTTGTATCATCTATAACTAGCTAATATCATTGAAATGTTCATTAAATATATCAAGGATGTTCAAATTGGCAGCATTTCTTCAATAAAATTTGAAAGCATCTTTTATCCTTCAAAATTTTATTGAGGTAGTATATCATTACTATTTGAGAACTCTAAGTGCTATCTTTAGCTAAAAACACTACTCATTGTATTATTTAAGTTTTCTTCTTTAAAGTAAATTATATTAATAAGCTTTATAATAATTTATTAATAATTGAAGTCTTTAAACTAATGTCATATTCATTAAAACAGTAATTACAAAATGCACAAGTTGATAGTATGTCATTTTTTAATGCAACTATTGGATTTAATTTTATTTTGATAATAAAAATAAATAATATACAACCCAACACCAAAGATGAGTGAATTAGTGTGAATGAAGCTACATACAGTTTGCTGTATGCATATGATTATTTCAGAATATTTTTATCCAAAATATTCAAAGGTTTGCACTAAACATATACCAAACAGAAATGTATAAAATGGGTTTACACCCAATAAAATAAGATATGATTTATGTCATTCATTTAAAGATGCAAAACATGTTTTATATATAGTATACAGTAATAACTGAAATCAAATGGTGATATTATGACTCAGTTCAAATCCAATTGGAGCAGCAGTTTTCCATCATTTATTAGCATTTGATGCATGATTGTAAATGAAGCTTGATTTTAATACAAAGACAGCAGGAATATCACTTAATTAAAACTTTTCAAATTTTTGAAGATATTATAATGAAAGGACATATACACCAGTCAATTTTATAAAGATATTGAGTGTGGGTGGGAATAAAAATGAAAGGTAAAAAAAGAAAAACAATAGTAATGATGAACGTGGGTGAGGAACAATGATGATATAAATAAGATAGTCACCAAAATGATTCATGTACATCCATTTCATTTGTTTAAAATATTTCCTTTCATTAACAATTAAATAATGAAAGCCCTGTAGGTATTCTTTCTAGATCAGCACATGATTTTAAAAATATAATGTCTAAAAAGATTATATAGATAAAAAAAATGTTAATTTCTCTTAATATATTACTAAATGTAATAAATTCTTAAAATATTGCAAAAAAAAATTAATGTATAAGGTTAATTTAAATATCGACTTTTTAAAGTTATTTTTAAAATAACTTTTAAAGGGAAAAGGTATTTTCAAAAGGAGGAAGTGGAACTGAAATATTTAAGCTATAACTATATAACTTTGGAGCATAGGTATATAATCTAACAAACATCAAAGAGAAGTTTAATTCAGTACCCGAGATTGCTGTGTGCATGAAAGTAGTACCAAATGGTAAAGAAAAAAAAAAAAATTTGTTATCAATAGTATAAATTTTAGCTTTGTTATTTTATATGCACACACACATGTGTGTGTGTATATATATATATATATATATATATATATACAAACATATGTATGTGTGCACATGTGCGTATATATATATATATATATATATATATATATATATATATATATACATACACACACACAGAGTGCGATGGGTAAATTGTCACATCTTACATTTTTAATTTTGTGCATGAGCGTTGTTTGTTTTTGATTTTATCAACTGTGGAGTATAGTAGGGTCAGTTGGGCACCATCTGTGAGAAAAAGAACACAATGACACAATTCCCTGCCAAAAATTTGGAAATGTACGCTGTACTGCTTGGCATTTATGCTGAAAGTTCCAATACAAACATTTCAGAGTGTTTGGGTGTCAATTTGGGGACAGTGTAGAAGATTTGGAAAGAGCTGGAGGAGTCTAATGGTGATTATGAAGGTACAGCAGCTCAGAAAACTAATTGTTCTGATGAGAAAAGAACTCCTGAATTTGCTGGTTAGGGCCTCAGACTCAATACTGAGGCCTACATCAAGTACTTTGAAGAGGTAGTGCTGCACTGGGTCAAGAGGGTGGCTGCTGGAAGATCCTATGTCTGGCAACAGGACTCTGCACTATGCTACACAAGCAAGAGAACCCAATCATGGTTGTCAGACAATTTCTGTGACCACATCACTCTTTACATCTAGCAACCTAACTCCCCAGACTGCAACCCACTTCATTATTATTTGTGGGTTGTAGTAAATGAGAGACCAACAAAACTCCTAACACCAAAGAGATGTAGGATATTCTGAAGTCATCTGGAGGCTGTGGTTAAGCCAATGGTGATTTTATTGAACAAATTTAATCTTTAATATATATATATATATTAAAAAAAAATATCCACCAATCATGCTACCTTGGACTCAACCCTAGGTATTTTCAGGCAATCTGGACTAAATAATCTCCTAACACTTCATTATTGATAAATAAATAAACAGGAAGCATAATAGAAGGGGAGTAAAAATTTCGTGTGTGTGTGTGTTTATTTTTTTTTATTTTTTCAGTTGTATGGATATGAGTTCGTGACCTTGGGTCTCATGCTTTTGCAATCATCAGACAAAGCTGTCTGATGATTGCAAAAGCGTGAAACCCAGGGTCACAAACTCATATCTATACAACTGAATATGTTAGCTTGAGTGCTTTCCACTAAGTATTGTGTGTGTGTGTGTGTATGTATATATATATATATATATATATATATATATATATATATATATATATATATATACACACACAGTTTGTGACCCTGGGTTTCATGCTTTTGTGATCATCAGATAAACTCTTATTTAAAAATTGGATCTATCTATACTTGTTTGTGTTTGATTATATTTGATAGTGTGCATATATACATTATATACGTTGTGTGTGTGTGCATATATATATATATATATATATATATATATATATATATATATATTAGTTGGATTGATGTTAGTTTGTGACCCTCGGTTTCACGCTCTTTGCAACTGTCAGACAAACTCAGTAATTTTGAAATTTTGTGTGTGTGTGTGTGTGTGTGTGTGTGTATATATATATATATATATATATATATACACACACACACACCACACATACACTCACACACAATCATGGTGCAGGTATGGAAAAGTTAGAAACATGATTGAAACTTGCACATATATTAGGAAAAACACTATCATAAGCATTCTTGAATTGCTGTTTCACTGGCATTTATAGTTACCAATAATGATTTGAGTTCATTTTTACTTATTTAGCTGAAGTGGTAAAATCATTTATTTGAAATTTAATCTGCAGTGCTAATCTTTTCTAATTTTTTAGTAACAAGTTTAGTATCAATTTATAAGTGCCTCATCTTTGTTGAAAATGTCTCTGAAGAAAAACATTCCTGAAACTAAAAGGGCTGAAATCATTGCATTGTTCACAGAAGGGGTATCCCAATTCAAAATTGCAAGAAAAGTGAAATGCTCAAGAAATGTTGTACAAACAACCATTAAAAGATATAATGAAACCAATTCTTTCAAAAATCATGATGGTCATGACTGGAAAAGGTGTACAAGCTCAAGGGAAAACAGACTGCTAAAGAAGGTATCTCTAGGTGACTGCTGAATTTTGTCAGGTAACAAAGTGATATCGACTTGCACAGAAGGAGAAGGTTAGTAGAAGCTGGACTCAAAGGATATAAAGCTAGAAAAATCCCATCACTGCTTGAGGTTAATAAGAAAAAGAAACTTTCTTTTGCAAAAGAGCATGAAAATTGGATGGCTGAAGATTGGGCCAAAGTTGTCTGGTCTGATAAAAGCTACTTTGAAGTAAGTTCCTTTATTAGTTGAAACTAATTTATTGATATTATAATTGTTTTTATTATGCCTATTAATACTGCATAGAAAATTATCCCTAAAATTTTTATTTTTATCAGATTTTTGGAATCCATGGAGTTGTTTATGCTCATTGAAAAGTTGGGGAAGC